ATACATATATATGTGTGTGTTTTAATTGTTTATCATATCACATATATATACACATATGATACAATAAATAGATCATATACACATCTATTTTTCTGTGCAAGACAAGATCATCTACTTTGCTTCTCTTCTTGTTCCCGTCCTGACACGTGGCGGCTGAATGTTCAGCAAGAGTATTCTATATGTATAGTGTGTGTGTGTGTGTTGCATCTGTGCGTGTTACATGATCGTGGGGTGCATTCCCCGTACCTGCTAACCGCGCAATACAATCGAGTCGAGGTTTTAAGAGATGGAATCATACGACCACAGGCTCATTTATCTCCTTTTATTTAAACAACCCTCATAGTATAGTAACATGTTATAATGTCTTCGATCTGCATTTGTTTCTTGGAGCTTACCGGGTTTGAACCGGTGGCCTCACGCATGCAAAGCGCGCGCTCTACCACTGAGCTAAAGCCCCTCTCCGTCCTCTGTTATGTACATCTGCTTTCCGCCCAACGCCACGGCTTAGTTCACAACAAAGACACCAGTCTTGTGGACTAAAATAGCGACTAAAGCTGCTGAGTTTGTCCTTTCGGCCGCAGGTTGACACAACGTAGTTCGGTGGGGCAAAGCCCTCGTTAATGTTGGCTCCGCTAATCCCGAAGGGTAACTAGTAATGTAGTTAAACTACAACTAGGCTCTGTCCATATGCCTACTACATTAGGAACTACGGCATCCCCCCTTCGGGAAAAGAGCTACTAGTAAAACGACATTACCGAAGGGGGACCTAACCTACTCCAACAAGAACCTTTTTTGACAACGTAGTAGCTTTGGCCAGAGACCTAGTCGTAGTTATTTTATACAATTGAGCGAATTCAGACAAACGTCTGGACAAATCCATGTCGGCACGTGCACACGGAAAAATGGTCTCCTCATGGCCCGATCCGGCGCGTGCCTGTGCAGTGCTTTGGAGCTTACCGGGATCGATCCGGTGACCTCACGCATGCGAAGCGCGCGCTCTACCACTGAGCTAAAGCCCCCTCCCATCTGTGTCAACCTCCAACCAACTTCACACCAGGCCATTACCTAGCCCTGCTAGGAAGCATCGGTGCCCGGGGCCACACTGCATAGATCCCAGTGACTCATCCTGTCTCCGCAGTACCATTAGCAGTCTGCTGAGAT